GAGCAGAGAGAGAGCACCTCACAATGAGGTGTGGTCATGCTACAATTCCTTTCTCCATTTCTTCGACCTGTCAGGATTTGGAGCAGACATGCACACCTTCTGGGATGTTTTTCAAACCACCAGGGCTGGGATTCGAACTGCAGTTGACCATGTAGGATCTGGCTCCCCTAATCACTAGACTAGAGGGTCAGCCCAAATGAAACACACTCCTAAATTAGGCTTCCATATACTAAGTTAGGCTGTATTGCATATAAGAACTCAAGGATGCAAAGAGAGTTTAATTTGATTTAAAACGGAAACTGTATCAAAATAAGAAGTTAAGACATCCTCAGAAGGTGTGCCATTCCCCACCTGCGCTGTCCGAGAGCATAGCTCTCTGGGGCGTTCCCAGGCGAGGCCCTGGGAGCCCGCAGGTGTGTAGCCCCCTCTGTGCGTGTCCCGGGGAGACAGGGTTGCATGTGGCTCCCACGAAGCAGAAGCCGACGGACGGATGGACGTGGAGGACGAGGAAGGCAGGGACGGCGTCTGCGGTATAGACGCATAGACCAGAACAGCCCTTCTTCAAGAGACAGACAGCTCCATGGCTCCTGCTCTAGACATCTGGGGAGAAAGGAAGATGTCCCACTGATAACTGGGCCTCCCGCATACAAAACTCACGTGAACAGCCCTTCTTCAAGAGACAGACAGCTCCATGGTTCCTGCGATCTAGCCATTTTGGGAGAAAGGAAGATGTCCCACTGATAACTGGGCCTCCAGCATACAAAACTCACGTGAACAGCCCTTCTTCAAGAGACAGCTCCATGGCTCCTGCGATCTAGTCATTTTGGGAGAAAGGAAGATGTCTCACTGATAACTGGGCCTCCAGCATACAAAACTCACGTGGTAGGAAGACCCCTTTCAAGTCTCCTGTCTCTGTATCAGTCTTTGTCTCTCTCTACCTCTGTCTCTGTCCTCTCTCTCTGTCTCTCTTTTTTTTAATTTTTGCTTTTTAGAATTTTTTAAGGTGAGGCATTTTACAGGGCCCTTTGGCCCCTCCTAGGCCTTTATCTTGTTAATAATCTCCTCTCCTCCTCCCAGAACAGCCCTTCTTCAAGAGACAGA